CTGATTCTTTGATGAAAATTAAGGAAAGGGTTACTTGTGGTTTAAGAAACTTTGGCTAGAATAGGTTTGTGTGATGCGGTTGGTAATAGGCTATTTATTGGTATAAGATCATCGGGTATAGGGGGTTTAGGCGCGTAAGGATCTATGTGGAGGGGATGTTCATGCGTGAACACCACCCACAATGGGTGTAGTGGTGGTGTGGAGTAACTAGCTTCACGGATGCCTACGGGGATTGTGATTGGCTAGCTCCAAACTCTCACTGGCTTCTCTCATGTTCACTAGTGAACATCATCCCCAAACAATAGTAAATGTGTTATGAAAAATGCATGATGATGATGTGGAATCATTTCCACTCGTAACTATAACGTGAACATACCCGATGGCCTAAATTAACTAAAAGAAAAATATAAATTATTCCGCAACCAATTTTATTAGTATAAATAATAAGGGTATAAATAGTTTTTGGGAAATATATAACGAGAAATATTTTTATGTTAACCAACAAATTCCAAAAACGTTGATAAAAGTAACAAGTTCTAGGTTTATGTTTTACCACTAAATTACATCAAATTTAGCATGTTTATATTTTAATTTTATATTGTTAGCTAAGTTTTAAAATTTGTGAAATTTGTCCAACTTTAAAGTTTCTTATGAATATGGTCTATATATTTTTTTTCTTTATAAATTCGTCCAAAAAAATTTAAATTTACTTTATATAACTTTTTCTAAATTTTTTATACAAATTTTTAAAAACATTTTCTATATTTGTGTCCTTTTATACTTTTTTTTAAAAAAAACTTATAAAGTTTTTTTTATAATTGTTTTAGTAAAACATTATGAATTTATTTTATAACTCTTAATAAAATGTTGAAATATTTTTATAAATTTCTAAATGTTAAAAAATAATAAAATGTTTACAGGTCGTATAAAATGTATTAAAAAAGTAATAAAAAATTTTATAAAAAATCAAAGTTTTAAAATTTGTAAAGTTTGTCCAAGTTTAAAGTTCCTTATAAATATGGTCTAAATATTTTTTTTTCTTTATAAATTCGTCCCAAAAAAATTTAAATTTACTTTATATAACTTTTTTACAAATTTTTAAAAGGTTTTTCTGAATTTTTTTTCCTTTTTATACTTTTTTACAAAAACTTTATAAAGTTCTTTTTATAAGTGTTTTAATACAACATTATATACTTATTTTATAACTTTTTAGTATAATGTTTTAATATTTTTATAAATTTCTAAATGTTAAAAATATATTAAAAAATCATAAAAGGTTGTATAAAATGTATCAAAAAAAAAGTGAAATATAGATATATATATATATATATATATATATATATATATATAGATCTATCTATATCTATATATATATCTAGATATATATATATTATATATATATATAGATATATATAGGGAAGGGTTATTTGGAAACACAAAAAACCCTAAAAATGCATAAAAATGCATAAAAAAAATACCTAGGGATCACAAAACTTTTTTTTGACATTTTTTATGAAAAAATCGCAGGTTTTTAAAGAAATTCGCTGAAAAAAATTTTGAAAAAAAAAATTTTATTAAAAAAAATTGATTTTTTATTTTTTTTTTCAGCGAATTTTAATAAAAAGCTGCGATTTTTATAAAAAAATTCAAAAAAAAGTTTTGTGATCTCTAAGTATTTTTTTTTTATGTATTTTTATGATTTTTAGGGGTTTTGTTTCCATAGAACCTAAACCTATATATATATATATATATAGATATCTATAGATATATATTATATATAATATATATATATCTATATATAATATATATATATATATATATATCTATAGGTTAGGTTCTATGGAAAACAAAAAACTCTAAAAAAAATACTTAGAGATCACAAAACTTTTTTTGATTTTTTATAAAAAATCGCAGTTTTTTATTAAAATTCGCCGAAAAAAAAAATAAAAATCAATTTTTTTTTTTTTTTCAAAAATTTTTTCAACGAATTTCTTTAAAAACTTGCGATTTTTTCATAAAAAATGTCAAAAAAAAGTTTTGTGATCTCTAGGCATTTTTATCATTTTTAGGGTTTTTTGTTTCCAAATAATTCTTCCCTATATATATAGATATATATATATATTATATATATATATATATATATATATAGATATATATATATATATATATATATATATATATAGGGGATAGGGAATATACATTACAGCCCCACCTAAGCTTAGGTATTAAACCTCTAAACTATGTCGTTTTAACATGCTAAATATACCCGGTTTGGTTTCACTTGGTAAATATATCATCCTCCATAACATTTCTTTCTTTCATTATCGTTTTACCATCTCTGTTTTCTTTCCTCAATTATCGTTTATTACTTCATCCAAGTGAACGTTACTAAACCCTAAACCCTAAACCCTGAACCTAAACCCTAAACTCTAAACCCTAAACGTAACCCTAAACCCTAAACCCTAAACTCTAAATCTAAACCCTAAACCCTAAACCTAAACCCTAAACCCTATTGTGTCGATCTTGAATTTACATCTTGAAGTATTAATCGTGAATCCATTAACCATAATCTTTATATAGTAAAACAATGTATTTTCAAAAGGTTTAGTACCTAAGCTTAGGTGGGGCTGTAATGTATATTCCTTTTTTCCATATAGATAGATATAGATATAGATATAGATATATATATATATATATATATATATAATATATATATATATATATAATATATATATATATATATATATATATCGTTTAAAGAGTTTATAAAAAGTTGTAATAAAAGATGTTAAAAAAATTAATACTTTTTACAACATTTACAAAAATACTTTTTTGTAAAAAATATGTTGTAATTTCTTTTGAGAAGTTTATTAAAAAAAAATTGTAAAACTGTAAATATAAAATTATACAAATAATTTTAAAAAGTCTAGAAAAGTTGTATAAAAACAGATTTGGGTAGAGTTTGTAAAAATAAAATTAAAAAACAAAGTTTGAACCACATTCATAAGAAAACTTATAGTTTGGACTAAATTAATAACAAGTTTGGACACATTTATAACAAAACTTATACTTTGGACTCAATTCAAAACACTAAGCAAAAACATAAAGTTGAAATATGACATGCTAAATCTGGTGTAGCGGGTGGAAAAACAAAAATCGCGACTTCGTTACATTTTTTATTTTTATAACATTTTTTGGGGTTTGTTGCAACTTAAAAATATTTCCAACAACACTTTTCTCAAAGATATTTTAAACCCAAATAATAAATAACAAATTTAAAAAATGACTACAAAAAATAATATTACTATGCAACTCTCTTTCAATAAAATGACGTAAACACGAGAAGTAGCATCATCTCTTTTATTTTACCAATTAAACCCATTAAATTATATACGAAATAAAGAATGGAATAATTAAGAAACCGGTAGGGTGACTAGTTTGATGGTCTTTAATTAAAAGGAGATCAACGCATACCTCAATCAATCAAAGCAAACGACATGATAGTGGTTGACCCGGTTGTGTGGCTCCCAACATTCATTTACGCTTCTTATGTTCCCACAATCAATCTCCTACTTTTATGTTCGTTTCTGTTGAATGATTAGATTTTGTGAGCATATAATCCTCACACAAATGTCTCACAATTTATTATCTCTTCATTAAGCTATATTCATTGAATGTCATCATATCTACTTATCTAGATACATAAGAGTACCCTCGTTTTAAAAATACATGCATTCGAACATACACTAAACCATTATATTCACGAACAATCATTACAAAGTACTAGATATAACTATTTGGTCAAAGCAGCCAAATAACATGTATTACTAAACCATTAAACTTTTCTTATGAACTTGTTTCGGTTATATATGGAAGAACAAGACATTGTTTACTCTTTATGTTGTTCACTAGATTATAACCAAAACCAATGTTTAAAAACAAGAGATAATAACTTATGAGAGTAACGTACTTTCGATTCTGTTTACATTTAATCACTTTTATTTTCTTGTACATCATTTATCGGTGAAGTTATTTTTTGTATTCAAAAAGTATATCATATTACAATCGGTCATTACGACCTTGGCTATTCATATTTAGTCACTTTCCTTTTTTTTTAAACAACCAACAATAAAATTAAATTAAAAACTAGCAAGGAGCTAGAAAACAATTACAAGAAGTTCATAGGACTTTGAAGCCAATTCACCCATCTCATACATCTATTATTTCTATTAGAATACCACAAGAAAGAAAATTCTTTTGTCGAATCAACAATCTCAATTTTTCTAATCTTTCCTGTTCCAAACACCACATCATTTCGAAATCTCCACATATACCAGATAGTGGTACATGATATCACATCAACCACCCTTCTTTTCTTCACTTTCTTTTTTATGTATATAATTTACCAGTGTACTTATTTTTTGATGTTCAAAACACCCTTATAACTTGTAATAGGCTGTAATTGTATTTATTGAACACGAAAAAAAAATTCACATATAAATGGTGCATAAAAAAAATAACTAAATATAAATAAAATCAAAATTATGTTACCCTCATGAGGCATTATCCCTAAAAACAAGGATAGAAATTGTGTTTAGCATAAACTGGACCATGAAAATTGTGCCTTGTTCGCATCCAAAAAAGGAACATTATAAAAATGCAAGACATATATACCCTCCTACTCATCATTAAAAAACATCGCTAGAAAGCTTCTACAGTTACCCGATTCAGTCATGTATAATAAAAACAACAAAACATGTCGAGCGTTTATCCAATCCCATCCAACAGCTATTTTATTTTTCACTATTAATAATAGTAGAAAGCTTTTCCAGTCGTGTCGATTGTCAAGTGTAATAAATGCAGCTTTAAAGGGCTTCTTATTGCCCGTGGCCCATGACAACAACACATAATAATAAAGCACCAAATAAGGAGAAAAAAAAAAAAAAAAAAAAAAAGTCGTGCCAAAAGAGATTCAAACATTCACATTGGCAAAAAAAGATTTCCAACAAAAACTGGTCCAAAAATCAATAAATTCCAACAAACAAAATACACAATAATTATACCTCGACCCCATGAAAAAATATCGGAGAACATATCATATCATATCAATTGTAGGCAACACAAACATATATTAATTAAAGCAATATAGACGACCACTTGTATTCTTGGATTGGTCAACATTTCTTCGGAAATTTACACCTGGTCAACCAAGCCAATAATAATAACAAATTAAAATAAAGAAAAAAGAAAAACACCACCATACTCAAATTTACACTTTTTTATTTTTTTAATTTTACCTCGATGTAATAATGGAAATGGAAGAGAGCCAGATAAATGTTATTTACAGGCAAAAACCTCTTGAGAACAAAATTTTATCACCAACAGTAACACATCATACACATGAACCATTTTTTAGTGATTAGTTTCATGCTATGCTATCTGAAAACAAGGCTTCCATTTTGTTGTACTCTCAGATTTTCAATAAGTGATTGGTAGAATGACTTCAGTGACTTCATATCATTGCCCTGATAATAAATAAACAAAAAGTTCATTTATCACTTTAATGGAAACATATAGTAATATGTATTTCAAGTAGTGAAAAAAAAAAGTTCATTTATCACTTTAATTATTTAAATGTGTACCTGTACTTTCTGGCAATACTCTTCTGCTAAATCTTGAGGACAATGTGCAGCAAGAAACCCTTTTGATACAAAATTAATCAGAAAATCATTTCCAAATTTCTCATACATAACCTTCTGAGCCATTACAATTTCTCCAAATAAAACAAACTGCAAAAAAAGTAAAAACTTTAGATAACTTTTACATACAAAAAAAAAATATAAAAAAAAAAAAAGACTTACAGTATTTGCATCACGAAACTCAAAGGACTTATCAAGGACACTGTATAAACAACAGTTTGTTGCAAAAGCCTCGATTACAAAGGTTTGAAAACCAGGAACCTGTATACTTAATATAATTAATAACATTAAATACACAAATTTAAATGAAATAAAAGACAACATATAAAAGGAATAATACAAAATGAGTACATTACCTTTTCTTCACCATATGTCCTATTGCACCAATCTTTAATCAGTCTAATAAATATTTGTACACAAGCCTAAAGTAAACAAAAAAAAAAGATTTCATCAGATTCAAATAAGATTTTATAAAATTTTATATTTTTATATTTTATACCTTTCTGACAGTGAGATCTTTGTGATTACAGCAAGTGAACAACAGTAACTGCATCATTGGATCCAAATAAACTCGACTTTTAGCAGAAAGAAACACAGATGATAATCCATGAGTTGCAACCACATGAAGAAACGTGTAGAATGTTCTTTGAAGCTCTTGTAATTCACGAATTTCCTAAACCAATCATAAAATATATTTTTTTTAAATCATTTATCTGAACAACACTTAATTTTTTAAATCATTACCTCTGTGTTGCTACCAGGTCCTGATGGAATTGTGTCCCTTGGTATAATACTGAATACTCTACTTGCAATAACAGGGTATACATTTTCAAGAATATCTTGAACAGATGTATTGAATTTGCATATGAGTTGATTTATTAATACAAGAAAGCCCACGAGTTCTTTTGGCTGCATGAGGAATGTCATTATGAGAAAAGCAACAAAATGGAGGAAATAATAATGAAAGATCGAAAAAGATATTAAATTAAATACTAAAAATGAAATAATTAATTAATACCTCACTTTCAGAAAGAAGCTGCTCCAAGGCCTTTGGAAGGTAAGGGAACACAGATGAACCTAATGTCTCCACCATTCTGTGAATAAATGAAGTAACCTGACAAAATAAAAAAACAAAGAGTTTTTAATTGAATAAAAGTGAAGAATAATACATCACAAGAAAGAAAAAAAGGATTCTTGGATGTACCTTGGAGCGCAAGGTTTCTACTTTTGGAAAGATCACAAGGATTTGTAACAGCACATCCAATGTCTATAACAAAATAAGACACTTTTTTAGTTTTTACTTTTTCAAGAAAATGTAGAAATTGAGAAAAAGATTATGATTATTGATTACTAACCTGTTTAAACATGAGGCCAATTGCAGGGCGACTAGCTGTCACAAGTCTCTCACTAAACCCCTGTAGAAATACATATATTGAAAATTATATAAAATATATTGTCATTATCCATAAATAGATGTAAAGGAATGAATAAAAACCTTGCTCAATGCGTTAATTGCCATGATAAGTTGTTGGATATTGGCAACTTTTGATTGTGATTCTTCTGAATTTTGAACTCTTGAGTTCACAATCAATATCTCAACCTGTTTCATTACAAGATTCTCATATTATTGAATAAAAAAGATTCATTTTAACATTACAAGATTTTATGTAGAACAAAAAAGATTCAAACTTTTTGACCTGTTGACAAAGGGGAGTAAGCAAAGATGAAAGATACTCTGTTTGTTTTTCTAGTGGCACATCTTCCATTCCAATTAACAATCCAATTGCTTCAAAAATATGACTACCATCTTCAGATCCAGAAAGCTCTTTTGATGCATAATCCATACTTGTAAACTGTGAAACTGTATCATTCAGACTATGCAGAATTGTTTCAATGAAAGGAACGAGTTTTGCTTTGAGCAATTTCACAACTCTCATGAAAAGATAACTCGCCCTTCGACTCACTTTCACTTTTGAATGATGTATACCTCGATCATCAAGAAACGCAGCTAAAATTAAAGGAATGTATTGGTTGTTTTCAAGAACAAATTTCATGTATCTTGTTATTGTATCAAGATACACCAATGCAACAAGTCTGTTAGAATGACAAGGGAATTTTGTGGATAACAGCATAGGGACAAGTTCTCTCAAGATCCCACTACCTGTTCTCATTGCCTCATCACTTAAAGATTCACCAAATGCATAAAAGAGTGATAAAGCAGCTTCTACTTCTTCAACATTAATGTCAAGAGAGGACCCCACAGCATTTGATAATGAGTTTCTAATGAAGATTTGGGTGACATCAGGTGCTACACGCCCTACTGTACGAAGCAAGACTAGCAGATCTTTTCTGTGTTCAATCATTCTATCTTCTTCTTCTCTTCCTACTTTATCTAACACATCAAGATTGTCCCTATACATTGGATCAAACCTAATTTGCATACGGATTACCTCCAAGATCTGGCCCACGTGAAAAAGTTGTGTTTCTGTCAATGGAGATGAGCCTTTCATTGTTGCAACATATCCAGAAAGAAATTGGACAATACTGAAGGTTGTATCCAGTTCACAGTTTTGCATAACGTAGAAAACAGATGGTAAGACTTCATTCAGAAGATCAGTGGAAGCTCTTTTGTGATCTCCATTGTTGAGATTCTTTAAGCAATCTAAAAGCACAGAAGCGTAGCCTATAAGCAAAGAGGCTAACCCTGAAACAAATTCAGAGTCAACATCACCTGCTACCAAACCAAAAACCCTATTCATTTGAAGGCTCTGGAGAAGGGTGAGTTTAGCTTGTGAATCCATCCGTTTAGAAACAACAGCAAGAACACAACCGGAAGCTGCAGACCTGAGTTGATCTGGTAATCCTTCTACTAATATTAGTTCGAATAGTAAAGGGAGGAAAGTGTTGTTTGCCACTAAACCGATTTCAATCCATGAGATGTATCTTCTCATGGTGTCGAGAACAAAGGCAGAGAGTTCAGAATCGGTGTTCTTGTATAGGGAGACAATGTCATACCAAGCATGAACGATCTGATTGACACATTGTTGTCTCATTGCATCCTTGATCTTCCCTGACACCACACCCTCTTCTGGTGTTCGTGGGTAGTCTTGGCTTATCAATTCATCGTCCAGAGCATTTAGAACACGACAGAACATATCAATCACTAAACCACCTTTGCTCAAATTAGGGAGAAAATCAACGAAAATGGAAGACCAGATTGATGGATACTCATAGTAGATCAGAGTAACCAAAACCTGAGCGAGCTTATTCTTTACATAAGAAGGACCATCCAAAACCTTAACCGAATTGCTGTTATCAAGTGTTTCATAGCACGCCATGGAGAAAACCGATGTCCTAACAAATGATTTCTCTTCTGTGCTCATTCCAGAGTAGCGAGAACGCAAGACTTCATGCAAACATTGTAAACACCAAAACTGAACTTGAACGAGTTTCGAGAAACACAATCGTTCGATACATATACGACAAATTGATGGATTATCTTTGATTTGTTGACAGAATGTAACTGCTTGTGACTTCAATACAGATGTAACAGTCCCCGATTCATCGAAGATGATGAGTACCGCCTTCTCCAGATCATCCATTGATGCAAATCCACTAATCTTATAGAATAAACCCTAACGCAAAACCTCAGACCATCAAATCCGATTCCTTACAAGCTCTTAATGTAAATCAGTAGATTAACAAATCGAATGAATTGAATACACGAATAGCCAGTATACCTTTGCGGTAGAGAAGGCTTGGATATCTAGCAAAACCGATCTTGGTTCACAAGAACTAGGGTTTCGTTACAAAGATAAAGAAATGGAAGCAACAAGAAACAATCTTTTTCCTGCTTCTAGGGTTTCAAATAGTTGAAGATTAATGTAAAAGCGAAATAGCGAGAGATTAGGGATTTTGAGGAGGTTTTCGACGAGTTTTGGGTTGAGTGAAGGACGAAGGTTTATTCAAGAACACATATAGACTAACCACACCGCCACCCATAAACCCATGTATTTATAGGGTACAATTTTGAAGTGTGTCAAGTATCTTTACATTTCAATCTTTAAATTTTGCTTTTAAAATTGTAATATCAATTTAATTAAATTTGAATATTCTTGTAATAAATCAAAATTTTCTTCATTTAATTTTTGTGATTTTCTTCCCATTTTTCAAGCATTTTAGGTCAAATATACATATCAATTTGTTTATTTGAAATTTCTTTCTATAAGTAGAAAATTCAATTATAATTTAATTTTTTTATTATTCAAACCGATTTCCAATTTAATATGAGTATACGTTTCGTCAATTAGGTTTTTTTAAACAACAAACAAACACTCCTAACAGTATTATTTGTGTCTTTAATAAAACTAAACCCTCTACATTTTGTTGCAAGACCAAAACATGATACATCTTCAAGTTAAAGATAATATAAATATAAACTATAACAACAAATAAATTCATAAATAAAAATATTTGGTAAATGTTAACTAGTTAAATTGATGGATTGAATCGTAAATCATTTAAAATGAATGTGTGATACTTTAAATTGTTTTATTCTAGAAAAAAAATTATTGTAATGATAATTTTATATTTTTATTAAAAAAAGGTAAAATGTTTTATGAGCACGTTTGATATTATCCATTTGTCATTTCTAGTTTTGCTTTTTTTAGTTGAAAATATATGCATGAATTTTCTTTTTGTATAAATCCGTTCGAATTGCTACAAGTTCTATAATGTATCCGTTAAAGTAGCTTTTTCTTTTTTTAATTATTGCGTGGATGATGAAGCTGCAAAACTTTACGATCATATTTATAGTCCAAGTTTGATCAAATATTTTAGTTCCTTAGGCCATAAGGTATAGTCAAAGTTTAACAAGTTAGTATTTTTGGTAAAAAAAACATCAAGAAACAATGAAAAATCCTAAATAAAAACTTGACATGATTATTAATATGGCTTTATTGGTAATCATGCAACTAACTTATTACAAGTAATTTAAATACCGATACTTGTTGCTTTGTGATAGAGAGAATTAGAATACTCAACTTTCGCAAGATATTTACTTGGGGTTCAAGTTGATAGATGGTTCTCGAATACATATAACTTGCACTATTGCACAAAGTATTTACTTGGGATTCAAGTTTTCCATGTGTGTTTTTTATTCTAATTGGCGTAGTTTTATTCGCATTCTTGTTTTCTTGGTCACCAAGTTCGTTGTTAAGAGCACGTGATTCTTAAATTAGAGTTTTTGCTTTTGAACAGAAATAGTGTGTATAATTTACTCATGAATCACTTGTTTTATGTAATAATTTACCTTTAAAAATTTAAATGGTGTTGTACAAAAGTTTTGCCTTGTTCTAAATACTTAAAGATGTTAGGAATATAATGATGACAATGTCTAGTAGAATGTTCTAAAAAGCGTGAGATGATCTCGCAAATGCAACACAACAACAAGAAGCTACTCCAACATCTCAAAAAATCTCACGGTGATGTTGTTAAGTGTAGCGCACGATAAGTCTGATCAAGAGACAAGATGTGTCATAGTTTGTTATAATGAGAATTCTTTTAATGTGTTTATTTCGATTTTTTTTTCATCATACATGAAATTATTTAGTTTTTGTTAATTTTTTGCTAATTAGTTGTTCATATAACACTTATGTAAACTTGTTATATTTGATATAAATATATAATTATTTGATTTATTTTCTGTGTATGTATTCAAGTTGTTCAATATAATCGAGTAATAATATAACACACACACAGAGACATATATATATATATATATATATATATATATATATATAAAAGCTACTAAAAGAATAGGTTGTTTGATAAGATGAATACGTTCAACCTCACATAACTATAATCATTATCATACATTATCACTAATTAAATTGTTTATAAGGGTATTATGGATTTTTTTTACGATTCTTACACTGTCAGAATGTGTTTTTTATAATCTTATTCTGTAAGAATGGGAATGAGTAAAAAACAATGTGTGGGAACAAAAATAAATAAGAATGCATGATAATGCATGATAATGATGATAGTTATTGTAACACTCCAAAAATCATAGAAATTTTAAATTTTTAAAATTTTAAAATCAATCATTAACCAATCATTGTTTACATAAAGAGTCATTGTTTTAAAAGTATTATTCAAAATCAGAGTTTTCCCAAGATCACAAAATAGGAAGATGTGCACGATCACACATTCGTTTTCCCGCGATCATCTGAAGTACTTGAAACAATAAACTTAAACTTTAAGTCAAAGCTTAGTGAATTCCCCTAAACTACCAATACACAACATATAACAACATATATTGGGTCCATAGCTAATAGACTGGATTACCCTTGAGCCCACAGTATGAGTCTGGCTTGCCCTTCAGGCCCACAACTCATACACGGTTTGCTCCCGAGCCCACAGCATAAGTCTGGCTTGCCCTACAGGCCCACAACTTATGACTGGCTTGATCCCGGGGTTTTTTGGCTACCACACAAAGCAGTATTACCTCAACCCAACCATACCATGTCGACATATACATAACATATAACATATACCCGGCAACAGATAAATATATAACTAGTCATCAGACAAAACATACAAATCTATAGATCACTTGTAACAACCCAAAACCAGGATAAAAATTTTCATTTTTAAAGAAGTAATATAGTCTTTATATTGTTCCAAAACCCATTACATAATAACAATGTCAAATCATCAGAGTAATAATATCAACAAGTGCGAGAAAATGGTGAGGGGAGAATGTTGTGTTATCACGTCGGGCCCTTACCCTTAGTACCGGAAGTACCTGAAAACATAAACACAAATTGTAAGCAAAATCTTAGTGAGTTCCCCTAAAGAACCACATACCAATCATAAATAAGATAATGATATGAGTCAAACCATATTCTTACAAGCAATTTCCTGTCGAGGGACAAATCTCGGTCTTACAGAAAGTTGCCAAGGGCCAGATCCTGGTCTTTCAAACAATTGCTAGGGGCCAGATCCTGGTCTTTCATATAGTTGTCAGGGGCCAAATCCTGGTCTTTCATACAATTGTGAGGGGCCAAATTCTGGTCTTTCATACACATATCACAAATATAGCTAACAGCCTATATCACAAATAATGGGTCGGCCTTGGTGCCTTCGACCCATAGATATAGTGAGAAAACTCACATCTACTGATGATAATTGAAACAACACTCGATCCGCGATGAACATTGCTACTCACGCTAAACCAAAACCAGAAACAAACCCAATCAATAATTAGGGTTTAACCCAAAGCCATGGTATAGTCCACTCCTCATCATGATGAGAGAAAAAGACCATTTTGCCCTTTATATACAAGCCCAACTAAACTAAGCTCAAAACCCCTAATGGCCCAAGGCCCAAAATCGACCCATAATGTAACATCCCAAAAACACAGTCTGAAAATTTCGTTTAATTTAATAATAAAAACCATAGTCAATAAACCTCATATAAAAATCACAAGCAATGTATCTCAAAATATTATAACAACTGTCAGGTATATCAGAGTATAAACATCCCAGGCTGAACAAACGGTGTGTGCACTGCAATCTTCCCGAGCTCCTCTTTTGAAAACTGAGTACCTGAAACCAAAACTGAAACTGTAAGCACGAAGCTTAGTGAGCTCCCCCAAACTACCACATACCATACAATAACATATAAAGCACATACTGGGCCTTGCCCACTGCATCGGACCGAAGTCCGGACTAACTGGGGCCTTGCCCCCTGCATCGGACCGAAATCTGGACTAACTTGGGCCTTGCCCACTGCATCGGACCGAAGTCCAGACTAACTGGGGTCTTGCCCCCTGCATCGGACCGAAGTCCGGACTAACTGAATGTAGCATAACATAATCATAGCATATAACATAAGCACATATACTGCATACTGCATCGGACCGAGGTCCGGACTAACTAACACATAAACATGCCTGAATCACAAAGACATCAAGCATATTGTACTACTGCATCGGACCAAAGTCCGGAACTACTGCTAACTAAACGGGCCGGCATTGTGGCCGTAGACCCGTTCCTACTGGAAGGAAAACTCACCTCGTAATGGTGGCTGCTGAGATGCTAAATCTGAAACTGTCTGACTACTGCTCTGGAACTCCCCGGCTACAAATCCCATAAACACTAAATCAGATACTGATAACTACTCTCAAGGTAAAATGACTATTTTACCCCTGGTCAAAGTCAACACCCTGGTCAAAGTCAACTTCATGTTCAAAGTCAACTTTCAGTTGACCGGACTCGCCGAGTTGGGCCGCCAACTCGCCGAGTCCCTATCATCCTTTCTAATCCTCTACCCGCTTCTACTCGTCGAGTTTGGCAAAGGCTCGACGAGTTCTTCTCCGATACTAACATCTAGTTCATCTTCATCTGACTCGCCGAGTTGTATGAACAACTCGTCGAGTCCTCATTCATCCTATGAATGAGATCAGTCCTTGACTCGCCGAGTTGTATGAACAACTCGTCGAGTCCCTCCACTACTAGATCTGAGCCTTAACTCACCGAGTCCATTACCTACTCATTGAATCCACCTTAAACTCTCAAATGGGGAAAATCGGGGACTCGCGACTCGACTCATTGAGTCTGAAGAACAACTCGCCGAGTCCCATGCATGTCATTACTAAACAGTCGATTCTGCTCGAATCCAATGCATTCCATTCATAGATTTGGGCTCCTAGGGCTGGTTTTTCACGTAAAGTTTCTAACTTTACGTGCATGCATGCTAAAATGAAGCTCAAATACCCAAAATAGGCTAAATGAAGAGATCTAAGCTTGGAATGGAAACTTGGCTCAATAAAGGTGGCAACCTTGAGCTTAAGAGGCTCTGGAAAGCTTAGATCTGAAGTCCATTCATCATATTAACTCTTAATTCGACCTTAAAGTCTAGAAAGGGCTCAAAATCAGCAAGAGCAAACTTCTCAAGAGATCTAATTGATAATAAGCAAAGATTCGAGCTTGATACCTCAAAGGGG